CATAACATTTCCATGCATTTCCTTTATAGAGGGGAAATTATGTCAAAAGTTCGTCGGTTTCTTGTGGTTTGAAGTGCTGCTACCACAAGTTGTGAATCCATTATATCTTGGGAAACAAGTGTCATTCACCGTGAACACTGTAGCAGGGCAATTTGTCTTAAGGAAAGAGATAACGTCTCACCTTGAATTATTCTCTATTTCTACTCCTTCTTAATCCTTGTTTTACGTAATCGTTATACTGAAACTCTGTCCAAATTTTCATTCATATAAATTTTATTTTGATCACGCTCTTGGCGGTTAAAATTGGTCAAACAAATATATAAAAAATTAACCCGTACATAGCCCTTTTTATAAGTTGTCTCCAACAATTTTTGAGTCGTCCATCAAGTTTACTCAAGACAAAAACATCCCGCAGAAGCTATACAACAGCGACATCCAAAATTCAATTACAGGAATGCATCAAGCAAGTAATAGTGTTCCTAAATCACTAGTTAAATGTGATAACTTATCCGTTAAATTTAAAAAGAACCTCATACATATTCTCTTCATTCTATCTCTAACTTTGTGTTATATCATCGTTTATCACATTCTTTTCAAGCTTTTAAATCTAATCTTTCTAGTGTACTGTGTAGAGAGGTTCATGAAACTGTGATCTTAGCATTCCAACGTGGAAGAAAGATGTTCTAGAAGAGATGATATTTTCAGGAAAAAATGGGACTAGGAATATTATTAAATTACCTTATGGAAGACACTGTCGATTGTAAATGGATTTGTCGATAAGGTATAAATATATTTGGACTATTGACAGATATAAAGTAAGGCTTGTTGGAAAAGGATATGTGGAAACATGTTAAACGATTAAGGAACTTTTGCTTAATTGGAAATTAAAAATAAATACGATCAAAGTCTTGATATCTCTTGCAGCTAATTCAAGTTAGTCCCTCTACCAATTGGATGTGAAGAATGATTTTCTTAATGGGAAAACCTGTGTAAGAAGTATGTTTGCAATGATTGTCAAGCTTCGTAGGATGCCTTTGAAATAAATAAGATACGTAGAATTGAGTATGAAATTTCTGACTTTTAGTCAAAATTAAGTATTGGAACTTGTGTAGGTACGATATAAGTAATAATGGATCATTCACCCCTAACCATTACAATCTGGGGTTTTCTATCATGTGTGGGTTCAAGTTCTAGTCTAATAAAAACAAAATAAAATTCTTTCACTAGGATCAACAAATACACAAAATCCCTAATTTATATTAGGAGTTGAATCTCGTATTCAACTGGGATAGAATATATGAATTAAACTAGATTTCAGTCGGGAATGATGAAAATCTCGTGCAAAATTTAAAAGCTGTCTTTTATTATTCTTTTTACGAGCTGATCTACGAGCGATTTGCAAAAGTTGAAATTCTTAGGAAAGATGTTAAGGTAGTTATATAATACCCGATTATAGTGCTACTTGTGTCAATATCTGTTGAAATTTGGTTAGCTAAAAGAAGCCCAAAGTGGTTCTGGGCTGACCCAAGTCAATATCAAGGTCCTTTTAACAGACCCAAAAGCCATGGCCCATTAAAGACAATTTTGACATTTAGAAATAGTTGAGTTAATTAGTGCAATAATTTCGGAAAATTAGGATGAGATTCCCCAATCTTTCAGGTAGTGTGGAAACAGTTTCTTTACATTTTAAAAGTAAAGCTTTGACTCTAAAACTTCCTTAATACTGCGAGTTTGGATCCCCACGTGACAAAAATCGATAATGTGAAAGTTCAAATTGCATCGCAACTTTCACACTAAAATTAGAGAAATATTAAGGGACATGAAGATTTTGCTTCCATCTTTAATTCATTTGAAAGTCACCTACAATTTTAGTACCCACGCTATCATCTTTCATCATCTGGGGACTCGATCTCATATTGTGTTGGAAACGTTTAGAATTTTAATGGTTCAAATAAATGTCAACAAAAGTACAAATTTTGAGAGTCAATTATCAATTATTTTTGAATAAAAACACTAATGACAGCTGAGAAATGTATTAGAGCACAAGGACTAGTCCTATAAGTGGGTTGGTTTGAGTCGGTTTCGACTCCAACCCTAAACTAAAATCAAATTATCCACTTTAACTGTTTAACTGAATTGAACTGAACCATTGGTTAGGTTTGGTTCCTTTGGTGCAGTTAATCAATTTGAGTTTTTAGTCCAAATTGAACTTAAAAAAAAAAAAAAAAAAAAAAAAAAAAAAAAAAAAAAAAAAAAAAAAAAAAAAAAAAAAAAAAAAAAAAAAAAAAAAAAAAAAAAAAAAAAACCTAATAACTTTATATTACAGAAACTATTGACAAACAATTAAAATTAGGTTAATAGAGATGGATCAATGAAAGACTTAAGAATTTTGTTGTTTTTTATGTATTATGTAGCCTGACTATTTGAGCAGGAAAAAAGGTTACGTATAATATAATGAGCTTGTAAAAAAAAATTTCAAGACTATTACTTATCAACAACACCATAAATTGGAGGGAATCAAAATATAGTTCTGAGATTATAACTTATCTTTTGATTTTTATTTTTCTTAAAAAATGGGTAAACATGTAAGTAGGTTGGTTAGTTCAGTTAACCAGGGGTTTGAAACTTCAAATTATGCTAAATTGACCCGCCATTGTTTGTTTAAAAGAAGATCAAATCAAACCAATTACCTGTGTCGAACTGACCCAAGTCAATTTGATTTTATTGGTTTGGTCAATTTTTCAATTTTTTTTGCTCAGGAGTCAGGCCAGACAAGGACACTTACCACAATATTCTCTCATTAGTAGTGAAGGTAAATTATGGAAACGTTTTGTGGTAATTATATTTTTGTTTATTTTTTATTTTTTTTCCCATTTTAATAAAACAACTTTGGGGAAATATCAGGTTTAATAATTATAATTAAGGAATTAGACACTATATTTTTCGGCTTAGACATGTTAACCAGAATCGAATCTCTTGAATTGAAATCGGATGTTCCAGTCCAATTCCCACAAAAGAAAAAAAAAAGGGTAATTGGCACAAAACGTCCCTACCTTTTAAGTCTATTGTGGAAAACGTCCCTACCTTTCATTTTTTGGCATTTTTGCCCTCATTTCAACCTTTCTTTGCGCTGGACGTCCTTCCGTCCATATTTCGTCAGTTTTTCCGTTAAACATTCGGGTAATTGGCACAAAACGTCCCTACCTTTCAAGTCTATTGTGGAAAACGTCCCTACCTTTCATTTTTTGGCATTTTTGCCCTCATTTCAATCTTTCTTTGCGCTGGACGTCCTTCCGTTCATATTCCTTCAGTTTTTCTGTTAATTAAATACAAAAATATCTTTTTCTTTCCATAAACAAGGGTAAAATTGTCCTCACCCACTTCACCCCTTTTTTTCGCCATCAACTTAGTCCATAAATAACAGTAGCAGCAACATGAATCTGAAAATACTTTAAATGATTAAGTTAAATAAAGAAAAAATATCGTGAACACATTATATTTCACAATTCCACAACTACTGTTGCTGTCATCTTGTGTCACTGGAAAAATTTAGAAAGACATATTAAATGGGTAGTCAATTTATAATGAGTTAATTTAAAATGAGCCATTCATCTTCTCCATTGAGCCAAAAAGAGTCATTCACCATTTTGGCTCATTAGTATTTTTTATGTCAATTTGTTTTGAGAGTAGAAAAATTTAAATGCTATCCACGATTAGATTATAGGCTTTAGTTAAATAAGATTTATTAAGAAAAATATTTGTTCTCAAATTGAAATTTACTTCTTGATGCTTTAATTTTCTCCTTTACTTGGTATTTAGTCTCACTTCTTAAGTCATGTAGCTAGATTTCTTTACTTCTTAAAGATTTCCTATAAAATTTTTCCTTGCACAAATATTTTCGAGTGGTAATGTGTGTTAGATATGCATAGTGAAATGGTCTCTATATGAAAATGTTCATTAAATATATATAATAAAATATTATGGATAGAATCGAACCCGATCCCGAACCCAAACTGATGATTCGAGTTTGAGTATGATTTCAATAATTACAAGAATTCGAATGATTTTATTTACGAAATACCCGAAATATAATGGGTGCTTCTGGATATTAAGATACTCGGACCGACCCACCGGTGTCCAAGCCTACTATATTTCTTCCTAAGTTATACCGACATTAGAGATGCAACCGGGTTGTGGCCCTCTCCTTTATGTCGAGAACTTGAGGGAAGACGAGCATTTAAATAACTTCAAATTGTCCATCTTTCCCTATTTACTTTTTTGTTTTTTTATATATTCTTTCAATTTCAATTTTTCTTTTTAAATATGATTTGAATTAAAAATAAGAAGAAAGATGCGAACTGCATCCGAGAAGGGATCATGTATCCAGTGACAATATTTTGGATCTATTTTAATTATTTCGATCATGTTAGCCCACAACATAATTAGTTGATCCTAAAGTAAGTCAAACATCATTTTTATGTATTTTGCAATAATTAAATCGCCATAGATTACGTTATGATCAAGTTTACGCCTCTCACCGTAGTATAGTTATAGCTTATTTATGAATCACAAACTACAAGATAGAAGAAAAGGAAAAACATTGGTGGAGATAAACATCTATCGTGTATCGTGATTTGGTCATCGACCTTGAAAATGGAGCATTTATACGTTCAACATCAATATTTCATACATGGAACAAAGGATTATCTTGGATCCATGCTGAGAAATTGACAATGATTTTCAAATTTATGACAATGTGATATGCCGAGAAAGATACAAAAATAGAAACAATCAAATATCTAGAATTAAAACTTACGATCATTTGGTTAACAATCGATCACAGTACCACTGAGTTGCAGAAGAACAATGGGAAACTTGATTCTTAGAGTTCAATTTCCATTCTTAATTTATAACCATAGCATTTGAGTTCTTGGTAGTCAAAAAATTGTTAAAAAGAAAAGATAAGCACCCAATTCGAAAAGAAACAAACACAAATAGAAGCCTAAAAAAGTTGATCACGAGCGGACACTGGGCCAGCTTCATTCCACTAGCATTCACCATATTCCGTACACCCTTTTCTCTCAATCTATCTCTCTCATTCACACGCAAAACACGCACTTACTCTCACACTCATCTCATCTTCTATTTACAGTTGCAACAGCCTTTTTACAGTCGCTTTTGTGCTCTATTTTTCACCATTTCTTGTTCTCAAAATTGTGTGTAATCCCTTTTCACATGGCTAGATGTTTGGTTCTGGTGCTTGTGCTCATTTTAGCCATGGCTGCTCATTCGAGTAAGCATTTTCAACTACAATTTCTGTCCCCCTTTATGGCTTAAATCTGCGTATAATATAATGGTATATCATATCAGTATTTATGCATTTACACAAAAAAATGGTGTCACAAGACTTTCTTGTGAATTTACTAAATAATTTCTGAAAAATCCCATAATACTACAAAGTTTTTGGAATCAAATTGGGGTTCTGCAAAGAATTCTTGATCCTTCTCTCATTTATTTTTTTCATTTTGCCTGCACAAATGGATCTTTTCATTATCTTCTCTCCTCTTTTTTTCTTTTTGGGTAGTAGGATCCTTAGACTGTATCTTTTTTTTTTTTTTTTACTTACTGAAGTAAGTAAAAGATGTTAGTTTACTTTCTTTAAGCTTAGCCAGACATGCCATTAATTGATATTAAGGAGGTTTTGCTTAATTTCTTGTCATTTATTGTCGGATTTTGGTAGGTGCCATTTGGTGCATTTGCAAGGAGGGATTGAGTAATCAAGCCTTGCAAAAGACACTGGACTATGCATGTGGTGCAGGGGCTGATTGCAATCCCACTCATCAAAATGGACCTTGTTTCAACCCCAACACTGTGAGGGCTCACTGCAATTATGCCGTGAACAGTTATTTCCAAAGGAAAGGCCAAACCCCAACAGCCTGTGATTTTTCAGGCACTGCCTACACAGTCACATCTGATCCCAGTAAGTGTCCACAAACTCTGGTAGCATGTTCAGTAAGATGAACTCGACTCGATAGTTAAGAACAATATTAAAAAAATGAAAATTAAAAATTCCAATCATTAGGCTGTGTATTATGCTACTCGATCAGGGGCTTTCAAACGGTCCCCATGATAGGGGCTGAGGCGGTGCCACCTCGTCTATCCTAGGCCCTGTTTGAGTGCCCAGTTTGAGTAGCAGGGTTCATTATACTGTTAGTTGGGTGTGTGAATGTGGGCTAAAATATTATTACTATAGTACAACGTAACATGTATGGTTAGAATTATCAATCATGCTACATTGATATATTAGATGACAGAATGTCTAAGTGACAGAAGTTCATTGGACTGTTTGAAAAAAGCCGATGATGCCATCCAATCATTTTTCTCATTTTTCTTATGCGTCTTCTCCTTCAACAAATCTGGCAACAAACTTAATTCTAGAATTATTGCTAGTCACCAAACTTACTGTGAATATCTATGGAGATTTCACTCGAGTCGCTGAAATTTGGCTAGGGGAACACAATTGTGAGGCTAGACATAACTAACGGGCTTACGTCATCTTTTGTGTCTGCAACATTCGATTTAAGGAAAATGGATAAAGGAACTAAAATAAAAAATGAAACTTAGGTGATTAAAGTTAAATTTTACTTTCTGTGACTAAAAGAGTGTTTTTGACCTTAGCAAATATTATTACAACTATTCTTGTTTATTAAACATTGTTTTTTTTGTACTCACTCTTATCTTTGGGTTGATTTACAGGCACGACTGGATGTTCTTACCCTGCAAGTGCGAGGTAAGATTAATACTGGAGTTACTAGTACCTGATTTATTTGTCTATATTCTGAACCAAGAAAATTCAAGAATTTAATAATTAAAAAAATTAAGCCCCTATTTAACAATCATTATTTTCAAACTATTTTTTCTATGTATTTATTTTCTATTACACATTCACACAATAAAATATTTTGCGCATAAATTTAAAATTTTTTCTTACTTTTTAATCGCACGATCTCCTAAAAATTACTATTCAAAATTTTCTTCTTTTTTTTTTTTTTCCAAATAATGGTTGTCAAACAAGGGTTAAATTAACAATATGTCCTTGTTTGATAGAAATTAAAATTTTAATCTAAATCAAAGTTAACAGCTAACTTTAATCACAAATTTTATAAGACTCATAATTTTTCAATCACGTATTTCATCAATTTTTATCAAAATCTACTGAAATTTTGATTTTAATCACCACCAAACAATAGCTACATTGTTATTTCATAGGAGGCTCAGGGCCACAAATTAGTGTGTTGTTTTTGTATAACCTAAGAGTCTTTTGTTGCCCTGGGGAGGGGAAAAAAATAGCTTTACTCGAGTTCTGGTGCAAGAAGGTCCCACTCCAACTCAATTTAACATATTTTGAAACTCTTTTTTTTCAAATTCATTTTCAATCATCCATTCTCACTTTTGAATCTTTTTCACGTAAATTTAAAATTTTTCTCTATTTTTAAATCACACATTCTTCAAAAATTTGTTATTGCAAAACTCATTTTTCTATTTTTAATGGTAGACAAATGGGGACTTTGTTTTGGTATTGAAAAATATTAGACTCCCCTTCAAAAAAGGTCATTAATTATTCATATTTTGTCTCTTAATGGGATGAACATCGATAAAGCAAACCTGTTCTTGATGTGGAATGATTTTGTCAAGCATTTCAATCTCATCCTTTGATTCACAATCAGATGCTTTTGCCTTCATCATTTTAGTAGATTTATCTGTAACTTTTTCACCTTCACCCTTTTTTTTTTTTCGGTCATTAAACTGTAGGAGAATGTTAAGGCCACTCATATAATCCCTTGACTAGTGTGTAAACCAATCGAGTTTGCACAATCCATTTTTGAGATGACCTGACACGACTTTTTTTTTTTTTTTTTTTTAAATTTAACTGTTAGTTCTACATTTTGGACCTATGGGCTCTACATTTTATTTTTCTGCTCAAGTGCATGTTTGACAAAGTTTATAATTGCTTATAAGTTGGTCAAATTCGATTTTTATCTACATATTTTTATAGATTTCACAATTTTTTTCTCGCTCATCATATATGCATTTAATAGGGCTTACAAATTATAAATAAATAAAAGTACAAGTCTCTTGATAGATAAATCACTTTTTTTTCTTTTTTTCATTTTTAACATAAGCAAGAATCCCTACCCTCTTTTCTTTTCGTTGTTTATCTACTCTTTTGCTTTATCGTGTTATTTATGATTGTGTTCTTGACCTCATTGCCTATTATTGGATGTGGGAATAAATTGTTTGTACAGTACTTCACAGTTCGGTGGGGTCCGTACCAATAAAAAATGACACGGGCCCCTCAATATGAGGGTGCTATGAATTGAGCTGTGTGCCATGCTGTGCACACAGTTCGCTCCATTGGATGTGTGAGTGTACTAATCAACTTAAAAAGATGGGCAATAATTGGCGATAGTAGAATCCAAAGCTTCCTCTTTGTTTTATTTTACATTTTTACTGCTACTAGATGGTAATAATTGGGTTTTTACTGTGCCACTTTCTTAAAAGGATAGATGGAAACAAACTTTTGTTTATACTATACCCTTTTTACTCTTTTTGCTGTTCAAAAGAATTTAAGTCAAAAAGTTGTGGTGGCTATTTCAAGATTTTGACCCAGACACCTAGACCTGTCCTTTTGTCCATATTGAAGGAATCAGATCAGTCTTGCAGGCACTAGACTTAATGGGTGCAGTTATGAGAAGTCCATTTCAAATCCTTTGGATGCCAGTTGCCTTAAGATTTGTGTTGTCTTACATTTTACCCCCGCTCCCCCCGATTTCGCCCCCAGTTTGTAGAGTTGAAAATGAGTATAATAATATTTTTAAAAAAAAAATAAGTAGTTGAAAAATAAGGAAATTTTTTTGATTTATGTGTAATATTATTTTATGGAAGATTGTGTAGTTAAAAATAGAGGAGAGAAAAATATAATGTAATGTAATAGAAATTAATGGGGGGGCCAAACGGGAGTAAATTATAATCCTATGTACTGTTTGTTCTATCATTTCTCTTCCTCTCCATGTCAAACATTACAGACCTAGAGGTGTTAAAATGTGTTCGGTCAAAGCTAGGTAGCACAGGGCAGCCCATGAAAGGAATATAGACGCCGAGGCTTTTGTCAAGGAGTGTAGGCATGGCTGGTTATCCGTAAGAGACGAGCTAGACCATGCCCAGAACTTGTAGGCATGTTGGGCCTGCAAATTTCTGTCTCGGCTCCAGAGAATCTTGTTACTTGTGACACGTTGGTGTACACGCTCCTCACATAAGTGAGGGGGCCCACGCCTAAAAAAAAAGAAAGTGAGCCTCTATTGTGTGAGGAGGTGTAAAATGCTGGTGTACGTATATTACAACAGGGCCCCAGAATGGCCAGTACAGCTGGATTTCTCCTCTACCCAGAACCTAGTGCTAATAAAGACAGAAATGCTGTTTGTACAGCTTGGGCTACAGCCCCTTTACAAGTGGGGGGGCCCGCAAATTTTTTATTGCGCGTGGGCCCTCCGAACTGTGAGAGGGCTGTAAACGGTGCTATGCAAAGCACTGCCCTTCACAAAATGAATTCTAGAGTCGAATAAAGTGGCATCAACAGATTCCCACTGCTGACTTAAAATTATTGAAAACAAGACTTTGTTTTACGTTCTCAATTTCTTCTCTCTATCCCAAAAGCCAGTTGATGTCTAGCATAGTAATTAAACACCAGTGAAAAGGCTAGAAAAGGAAATATTCAAATAATTCTATCACCCTGGCCTATGTTGAAATATTATAGATTATAATTTCTTATCATTTGATAGTCAATTTGCATAGTAACTGTATTAGAGTCATTCCTCATATGACTTTCCTACGTCTGGTCTAAAAATCTTTGATGTGTAACCTTTTGTCATTAATTTGTTCAGCGGCACAGCCACGCCAGTATCGACCACCACGACACCTTCCACCAGCCTTCCCAGTGGTGGTTCGCCGGTCGTCACAACTCCTTCCACAGGCATACTAGGTGGTGGTAGCAGTGGCCTAGGCCCTTCTAGCATCAACAATGACATTAGTGATGCCGAGATTTTACTAAGAAAAAGCAGCCTCCCCTCCATTATCGCCCTGTTTTTGGGACTCGTTTTCTTGTGTGGTTAAAGAAGAAAGATGAATGACTCTTAATGGGAAGTGTTGGCTATTCCAGATCCATATCAGAAAGTGATGATGTGCAGAAATGAACATGCATGTGAATCTATATTTTAAGACAACCTTAATTTTGTTCTTTCGTGTATTTACGGGCTTCAAATTTCCTTCAGTGTGTAGTTGCTGTTTGCTAGTCCACATATGCTTTATGATAACTGGATGTCTGTTAATTAATACTTTGGGTTTTTCATTAATTCTTCTCAGGACATCTCTAATGGTACACCAAATTGGTATACATAAAATAATTCTATCAATTTGGTGTCTTGAATAATGTTAAATTTTAGGATAAAGCTTGGTGTACATAATTTCTAATCTTGCATGAAAAGTAAGAAATTTCGCATATTTTGACCAATTCAAAATGAAAAATGGGGTTGCTCCCTTGGCAAAACTTGGATAAAGTTGAACCAAAAGTTCTCGATTCAAGATAAATTCATGAGGAAGCTGTGTCTCTTTAGGATCTATTCTAACATTTAAAAATTAGTTAATCGGTAAAGATATATGTATCTGATGCCCCCTCCAAGAGAGAGACCCAAGTCCTAGTAGTTCATGTGAGTGTATGGACACTCCCTATGTACATAAAATTATGTACATCAAGCATAATTCTACATTTTATGCCTATTTGATGTAAAATTCTCCTCCAACGATACATCAAATCATCGTACCAATTTGGTGTAATGTGTACCACTATTCATTTAGTGCAATTTTTGAAGTTTTTCATCAAGTTTTGTCCTTCATTTTATATCACAACAAATTGTAATTCCTTTTATATCATTTTCCTATCCATTTAGTATTTTATGATTTAAATTTATTTTAATTTGATTATTTATTTTTAATTAACATTTATTTGTAAATTCTAATCAAACAATATATAATGAGTATTGAACACATTAAAATTAAAATTGCTCATTAAAACTTAAAAAGTTACAAATTTGATAATTAAAAATAAAGAACTTAGAACTAGAACAACATTAATATCTAAAAATAAAATTTAAAATACAATACAACATTAAACTAAAACAATAATGACTATTTGCATTATTATGCATAATATGATAATCGAGGATGAACATAATATTAATGTAAGAATTGAAGAATGGATGGAAGTTGTTGGTATCCGACCTAATTGGGTTAGAAAAAGAATTAGGAGACCCAAGTAAACAAACTAGAAGATCGAGCTATACATTCAACTCGAACATTGGCCTTCGTAATTTGAAGGAAACTAATGATTAATAAAGTCTTGCTACACTGTTCCATCTCACCTTCAACCACTTCAAGTTTGGCACATGACACTTTTGATGTCAATACCTATTTTACCACCAATAACAAGCGAGCAATGATTATTTAGCGTCAGGTCATCATTACTTGATGTCATAGTTGAGGCTTAGACGCCATGATGACTTGCTTGGCCGACCTCAACGACCAATCAAAGCAATGAAATTTTGGATGATAAGTGGCATGTATTTCTAGGATGACATTTTAGCTGAAATGGCATGAGGTGGCCAAGTGGTGTGTTCTTCCATCCTATAAATAGGGACCGATTGTCCCTTTCCTACGTAGAGTTAAGACACCTTTGAAAGCAAAATTGCATTTCTATTGCTACTTCCTTTTATGCAAATTACTGTATGCTTTGCTCTAATTTCATTAGCAAAAGACACACTTTTTTCTCGAAAGTTGATCTAAAAGTCACATTTCATTTTTACCTATCAACAGAAACGTCAACTTCATAAGTTGATATGGTTGTAAATGAAAATACTCAATTTCAAGAATTTCTTGTTTGAGATAGACAAATCAAGGAAGATAGGTACATTTCACTTCAAAATTCGTTAATTGATCATTTGTGGAATGAAGATACTAATCTCCAGAATTAAATTACAAAACTAGTTGTTACTTTTATCATATGTAGCCTTTTGTTATGCGTTCAGTGTATTTTTTTTAATTGTCATATTCAATTTAATTTTTTCAATTTATTAATAAATGCAATATTTTAGTTCATTAAATATAATTTTTAATTAAATAGTTTTAGTAATAAATTTTGTAATTAAATAATTTTTTAAATTAATTAATTATTGAGCAATAAATAATAAAGAAATAAACGACAAATTTCGCCACTTCCCCAATAATCTAAGCGCATAATCCATCTCTAATAAATAATAATGTGAAATCTCATGGCATCTCGAGCAACCATTTCCCTGCCAACTATTGTTGAGACGATCCTCAGCTCACTCCACGCAAACGCCGAAATTTTTAATTGTTCGCAATGTGGATCAAGCTGGAGAATTCATCAAGTCTTCGGCAATAGCTATGAGCTTCCTCAGTTTCTTGGCCAACCGAATCTAGGATCTTGTGTATAACCAATATCTTTCATCTGTTGCTTCAGGCCCCCAAGAAATGTGTACATCTTATCTTGATCATGGTGAACTTGGTCACCATTTCTATGCTCGTGGACTGTACTCCCAACATTTAGAGGATTTTGACCACCTAATTTCTTTTTCTCCCCGGTCGTTAACTGTAAAATTACAATCATTAAATTCAACTTACCTAGTCAAGGTTCTTTCCTCCTAAACTCTATGATTTCAATGCTCAAATTTTCGATGCTCAAACAATAACAAGAGAACAAATGACTACTTGAAAGAAAGATATTTGAATTTGCATGTCCTCCTTTTCTTAACCGGGAACATTTATATATTTCCTTTAAATACTTGGAAGCAATTGAGCCATTTTAGAGAATAAAAGGCGGTTGTTTAATTGTGAGCTTAAAACCGATTCTGTTATGCATTCACATTTTATTCATCTTACGTATCCAATGTTTATTGGTTAAAAAATCATGCTTAAAATATCTACCCACATATGTTTTAATAACGATTTCAGCCAACTTGGAAGAGGGATGGCTCACCCCTTCTACTGTGTTTTTGGCTATCTTCGCGCATCTCTTCCTTTTTGCTTGAATAAACTCCAGGTAGGGATTTTCACTTAGAAAATAATATATACATAACATGATTAGAAATCAGTTCCTAGTAATCAAATATTAAATAGATTTAAGAACCTAAATAAACGAGTAAAGTACCTTTATGAGCATACTCTGAGTTAATGATCAAATATGCTACAGGCCATGGCAATTCACTTTTCCAAAATAATTTCAAGGAGACATACGCACGCGTGAGCGCGCATTAAATAAATATATGTTCTTATAAGCAAGAGGCTTCAATAATCTCAAAATCCAGACAGTAGAATTGAACAAAGAAATTTCCATCGCAAGATGCACGCACATTTACACAAGCAAAAGGCTCAAGAAAAAGAAAGCCTTCACAAAAATCATTCTAAACACGAGGAGAGCAAAGTATGCTTTTTAGATGTATTTCACTCATATTGACCCTCGGAATGAACTACCATGCCATCTTTATTTGATCATCTGCACAACTTGAATTAGACTCGAATAACAAGTCATGTCAACTTGTTGATATCGTGTAGTTTGATCGACAACCACCAGACACTGTCAATCCTACTTACAAGTTCACTGTGGTTCGAGTGCTTTCAACGTTAAAAATTCCCTCACTCAAAATATGCTGAAATCTTTAACAATGTTGCTTTGATGCTTCGGTGGAACAAAGTCGCATAAAACGTGCAATCACAATAACGATTAGATGAGAACAAAGCACAGTTCGGTTCCATTCCACACACATGGCTTGACCAATTTTTTGTCAAATTTTCAAAGCAAAAACCCGCATTTAAAAAAGCAGCACTGTTAATAACTTAAAAGGTCTGTTAAACAGGGGATCCAACAGAGTTTACAGGCTTAAGGGTACAAACACGAAGTTTTGTGTCTTATAGTCGTCCTAGCAAAATTCATGCATTACTCATCGTCTTCACTTCTCAACTTCTTTTTCTTCTTTTTACCTTCACTACGAACTGGAAGATCTTCCATGTTTTTATCCTTACTCTTCTTTTTCTTCTTTTTGGCAGTTCCATCTCCTGCATTGAATCCGTTTAAACCGTCTGCATTTTCTGCAGGCTCAATCTTTTCATGTTCTGCTTCCTCCTCCAATTTTCGTTTTTCCTTCTTTTTCTTCTTCTTTTCGGTTTTAGGTTCCTCAGTAGCATCTCCATTCACGATAGCCGTTGGTTCATCTTCTGGCTCGACTGTTGACTTTTTTTTCTTGCTCTTCTTTGTAGGAGGTTCGTCTACATCCATTTCTGTGTCTACGAGATGTGGTAAAGGAAGAAAAAATGAATATTAGAGGTTCATCGGTCAAAGTCAAGTACTATTTGAACATTGATAAATGTAAATAAACACAAAAAATATATATATTATATAATATGTCATACTTTTGGTGAATCTGAATGTGCAGGCAAGACCTTCAGAAATAAGGTAAAGTGCATGATTGGCAAAGCTTACATTATAATTTAAATTGGTTAAATATACTTTTCAGTTTTCATCCACGTTCAACAGGATCGACAACTTAAAATCACTTAAATTTAATATAAGCACTCCAAACATGTTCATAGAAAAACACGCGAAAGGAGAGAATCAAGCTGCTCATTCAGATATTAATATATAGAAACTAATTCTATGATATTGTTAAGGAATTCAGAGCAATCTATATAAAGAAGTGCACCTTTGCTCTGAACAGTTTCAATAGCAGATTTCATCACGTCTATGTTTTTACGAGGAGCAACCCCTTTGTCATAAAAGTCCAGTCGTTCTTCAACTTGTTCACGAAGTTTCTCCCCAAAACTAGTGGTATTTTTCTCTGCGCCCAAGAGTTATTACAAGATGTTAACATATTGTTTGCACGCACAAGATTAGATTGACCAATTTCTCAAACAAATAAGCACTCACCTAAGAAACAATCAATGCGAGAAGCAATTGAGCACTTGTTTGCAAGATAACGGGCCATCCGACCTTTGTTTCGAGTAGATGCACGACCAATGAAGGAAGAGTGAAATATAAGACCATATTTTGGAGTATTTCCCCGAGTTTTGAGCGCTCTGTAACGCAAAATTATTTCCATGAAAACCAGGCAAGAAAACCATACGAGCACAAACTCTATTACGAGCCAAAGCATGCACAAACAATTACCAGAATGCTAGAGGAGTAAAATACCTAAACAGAGCCTTCTCAGCACCAAGTATCTGAAGAGTCGAAGAAGGGCACTTTGCCAAGTTTGTGAGACTACCAGCATGAGAAATCAATCGAGCACCGACAACTTCACCAATCAATGCAGCCAGATTAGGTGCTATATCATTCATTTTGGCAACAAGATATTCATAAAGCTTCTTCCTGTACTCAGCAAGGTCCATTACTCTCAGTGCGAATTGCTTCACATTAATCAAGTCTATTGGAGACAAATCTTGTCCTAAAACCACAAAGAATGCCAGGTCAATATATAATGTATAGTGATTTTGTAGCCAAGTAGAAATCAGAAATGTACCCATGGATGCTTTGGCAGCTTCTATAATCTCCTTTGCCTTGTCTTCATCCCCAACTACATCTGTCAGGCCATCTAACTTGTCCTCAGACAACTGAGATTTATCCTCCACGTATTTTGCAACTTTAGCATAAAGATAGTTGTCATTAACAATCTTCGCTAGTTCAGGGAAATGCCAGGAGTACCATTCTCTGTACCAAATATATGGATTATAGTTAAACTTGGATTATTAAACCAGCCACTATGCATATCACAGCATGCATAGATAATTGATCACATATCAAATTTGTAAGTTCAAAAGACAACAAAAATTGTGATCAATGAAAAATGAAGCCTTGAATCGAAAGTCAATAACTATATAAAGCATTTGTGAGCCTGTAGTAAGGAAGAAATACACAACCTGACTCTCATGGAAAAGGAATTGATATCTTTATCAAGAGTATCAAGAAGAAATATAGCCTGAATAACCATGTTGTCAACACGGTTTACATTGAACTTGACCTTTGCTCTGCTGTAACTGTGACCCAGACCGAGTTGTGCCTTCTCCAAATCGCCAGGCTATTGATATATTGAAGATATAATTAAAAAAAAGGTCATCGGAACAATTTCAGTCAAGAAATTCTGTAAAGCATTAAATTTTGAAAACAGATTATTTAGAAAACCAACCTTCAAATTTTCAATGAACTTATCGAAATGCATGCGTACACCTCGAAGAAGCTCAAGGACAAACTCATTGCTTTGGCAGGGAATCTTAGTTACTTCATAAATATGTGATCCGAGCTTAGGCTCTGCCACCCCTAAACTAAACTTAGGCTTCTTACCCTCTTTGACTTTTGGGAGAGTAAGCTCCAAAAAGTTCCTTAGCTCAGCAGTCATTTGCCCTGAAATGCACATCATCAGAAAAACGAAAAAGAATACCAATTTTATGCCGTGAACACAAGCTCCAGAATTCATGAAGTGAAAGCAAATAAAAGCCAACAGAGTGGCATTAAAACTCCACATTAATTCTCGTTGTTATGAGAAACAATACAAGACAACCCTAGCTAATACTGTAACAAAATCAACCGAGGTTTCATCTCTCTCTTTTGGTGATATCTCCACTCATTCCCACATTTTCCTTCCCTTAGAATATGAGACTTCATAGCACCAAAAGAAAATACAACAACTTTTGATGCACAAAAACTACTACTATTCCTCAAATTGCAAGTTGCTCTTGACTTCATCTGTTTTGATGTTTCTCATGCTACCGATGAGAAATCAACATGCATATCTCTCTTATTCTTCTCCTTTTTCCCTCTGTTCATATGTGTTAATCCATTTCACAGTAAATTATCTGAATTGGGACTTTATCAATCATACTCCACATAAAAAGAATCCCCTACAGTCCATTATAAAAAACTGAGCTCAAGAACCAAACACCTCACTTAAAACAGAGGAATTACACAACAATTTGACAGCACGTGCTTCCAATACTGCTCTAGGCGGATAAAAATAGCATATAATAAAATATTTTCGGTCAAATTCAACCGACCCATTTAACATTTTTCCTTTCCAATCTAACTTTAGTTCCAATATGTTCAAATTTAGAAAAAGGATATATTCTGGTAGAGGGAATCAAAACCGTGTCTTTAGCTTGGAAGGCTAGGGGTTATTGTCTGTTCAGAATTTGGACGTATATAATCCAAAAGCCATCCTTAATTTAGCTCAATATTATTCAAATAATTAAACAAAGTCACAAAACTTCATGAAAAAGGAAACACTTGAAGAAATAGTAATTCTCTCTATAATCAAAACCATTTTTGCCTAAGCTTAACACGTTACTCATAAGAATACAAGTCAGTTTTAAAATAATTATTTCTTGTGCATAATTTCACCTTCGGAGACGGCATTGCATTGATTGAGAGCATCAAGAGCTGAATCAAAGGGACTAAAAGCAGCAAGCTTCACCACTTTACCGAACCGATTCAGGTCCGTGACAGAGCTCCGAACCGCCTCCGTATTCTGCCCGATTTCATCAAGTCCGTGAGCTAACAGTAGACCGTATCCTGATGCCGACTCGTACAGTATGTAGAGCGCCATTCACAATGACTCTCCCTCTCTACCCCTCTCTCTCTCTCTGAATTTATAGGTATTCTGTTTGTATGTATATCTGCAAATATGTGTTGGTCAGAGGCGGGTGAGAGATAAATTTAGGGTTTAGGGTTTCTCATATGCGTGTTTGTACGTGAGTATGGGAAGTGGGCGTGGGGTCAGTCAACTCAGTTGTCAAGGGGTTCAGATATCTACCTAGCATAGGTTGGAATATCTAACATAAGTTTTTTTTGATCGAATATCTATGGTTCCTTTTGATTATAAAGATAAAATTGAATTGAATTGAAATCGAATTTTAGAGAATTGAATTGCTTAAAAAATATTTTTTGGAGAATTGTAAATTATTGTGTTTGATTGATATAATTTTTCACGTGAAAAATATTGAAATAAAAAGTATTTTTTAGTCTTCGTTTGGTTTTGTTTTATATAAAAATTATCAATTAAAGAGATAGAATTTACTGGTATTGGGAATGAAATTTGTTTCCATCGCCAAAATTTTTTTTCAAGAAAATCATCTTTTTTTGGTGTTCGTTTGGCTTTATTTTACATAAAAATTGTCAATTAAAGGAAAATATTTTTTTTACAATAATTCTTAGAATTTGTTAACTTTGTCTCACAAAAAAAAAAAAAATGCTACATTAACCAGAAAAACCAAGAAAACCAAGAACTTGAATTCCATGAAAAAATATACCCATCAAACACCTTAAAGTTGGAAAATGTTGTTGAAATTCCATTTTCCATGAAAAATTTAACTAAGTAGTCTGTGTCCATTGGGTCAAATTTGTATCGACCTCAGTAGTTAGGCATGATTGCATAGAGTCTCGTACTTAATGACTTACTAACAGTATTATTGAAATAGGATTGAACTAGTTGATTTAGCTAGAAAAATCAACTTCGCAAAAATTAGAAATATAATAACCATAAAATTAACCAAAGAATCGCTCTATTCACATCAACCATCGCTCATGTTCACAATCAAAGCTGATCGACTCATGTCAAAATTTTGTTTCAATTATTTTTTTTATATCACCTATTCGACCACTTTGAAAGCTCAAGACTAGCTAATCAAGAGGGGGTGAATTGGTTATAGTAACTTTTTTGAATAATAGTTTTATGTATACAATTAATTCTCACTTAAATGTAGCAATTAGTCAAATATGAAAAGGAATGAAGACTAAAATAAATTCACAAGTAATAAATAAAAACAAAGATAAATAAAAGGGAAGAGAAGTCAAACGATATGATATGGAGGTTCGGTCCAATGCAATAATCTACGTCCCTCGTTACCAAACTCTCCGTCACAAGTAAGGCCTTTTTCACTATATTGATTGACTTATGGTGCAATCCAACCTTCTTACAACACTTTCGGTGACTTACAAACAAGGATCACCATTCCTTTACAATGTTGAAATTTTCGGGACTTCAACCCGACCTACAAGTTTGAAAATAAAGAATTAATAAATAGAGACTTCTCTTGTAATGAATGATTTATTCGGAGTCGAGTACACTAAGAGAATGAGGTTAACACTTAAGTAAATAGCAATAATTGAAACTCAAGTATTAGATATGAAAAACTTTTATGAGATGATTATCAAAGGTTGAATCAATCAAAAGTTTTTCAAGAGTGAATAGAGATGAGTAAAGAATATAAAACAAATATTTAAGCTCAAGAAAATCCCACTTTAATGCTCTTGGAGCTGTTGTCTTGAATGTAAACTGATCTGGTATTTATAGTAGCAAAATCGTCAAAAGTTCTGTCTTACCGGACGAGGCTACTTGACATCCTCTAACTTACCGAACGGTCAACTATCACTTTTTTTTTGTTTAGAAGTCAAAACGTTCAATATTCAGACCGTTGGACAAACCTGCCGTACTGGACGTCCGCTAGGATTATAGGACGTGTCCTCTAGGCCAAGTTACAGGATGTTTCCGCCAGAGTTACAAGACGCGTCCTCTAGACCAGTTTGCGTTTGACAGTTAGAATTTTTCTTCTTTTAATGTTCTTAAAGGGTGTAATCTCATGAAAGATGTTTCTAATTTGTTTTTCAAGATTTTTGACATTTCTTAAAGTGAATAATTAGGTTCATACCTTAAAAAACTATTTATTTAAAAAATCGTGTTCGACTTTCTTGAGCTTTAAATGATGTATTTGCCAACTACTAAAGTGTTCTACTTTTACATTTGAGATCGAGCTGTCTAAGGTTGTGCTAAGAAATTTTCTTGAGCTTCAAATAACATATTTGCCAAATACTAAAGTGTTTTACCTTTACATTTGAAATCAAGGTGTCTAAGTCTAATTTCTTCAAATTTCTTCATAATTTGACTCGATGAAGTGCTTGTTGACTTGTTGTGTAGCTCGGCTTCTACTTTCTTCAATTTTTGCGAAAGCTCTAAAAACGGCATTTTGTCTTCGATTTACTACACTTGTCATAACTTCTATAATCACTCAAATACAATTGTTAGTAATAAACATAATTTGTTTGTTATAATCAAAATGAGAAGTCAACTGTAGGTCAATAATTTCTCCCTTTTTGATTATGACAAACAAGAGATGATGGAGATTTAATAAGTGAGGAAACAAACAAGAGATGATTAAAATTTGATAAGTAAAGAAATAATTCCCCCTATCTTTTATATATGTATTCCCCCTTACTTAAGCATTTTTATCATGCATTATATCATCTCATATAATTTCCCCCTTTTGGCATAATCAAAAATGACAAATAATGAGTCATAAAAGAAGAAGCATAAGTTCATAATTTCATAATCAAAATGCCAAAAGATAGAGGCATAATGAGTTTGGGACTACAAAAATATGCATAAGATAAAACTAAAAGCTAAAACTCCAAAGGGAGCGTTGGAGGAAAATGTGCGTAAAAGTGAGCATAGAGTGCATTCTGTTGAGCCTGCATCTCTACCTACTGTGCAAGAATGGCATCCTGTTGAGCCTATATTGCGGCCTGCTTTGACTGAACATGATGAAGAAGACCGCTAAGCCCATCAACTGCAGACTGATTGAGTCGAGTCGCCCATTGAGAAGATTATACTGATCCTCAGTAAAGGTGAATTCATGTAAAGAAGATGATGGACCACTGGATGTCAGAGGGTGAGGAGGATGTGTAGGTAATGGATCGTCGTCGTCTTCCTCTTCCTCCTCGAATGCAAGTGTCGAATGTCCCGAGGGGGGTCGAAGCCTTTAGTGTAAGCCACCCATTGTCCTTGAGTTTTATAGATTTTCATGCGTTTGAGAGTTTGAATATTGATAGTTTCGGTAGGTCGAGGTTTTAAGATTTCCTCATCGTCTAAAGGAACATTGAAATGTTTTAAATTTTTTGTTAATAACATACCATAAGGTAAAGCTTTGGTAATACGAGAGGAGTAAACAAGTTTCGTAAGACCCATCGCAATAGTTGGAAAATCTAGTTTGCAGCCAACAAGGAAGGAATCAAGAATGAACAAGTTGAAATAATTAACCGCATCTCGATGCCCCTTCCTAGGTAAAATGACATTGGCTATGATATTTTGCAAAACCTTGCACGGAAAAGACAAGTGGTGTGTGCTAGTCTTTGTGATGTTTTCAAAATCCTTTCCCGTCACATGACGACATGCATCACTTGGGTCATAACCCGCTACGGTCGGGTGAGTTTTGTGCACAAAAACTTGAGTGTCACATGGTGCAAGTTCAAGAATATCT